AAATTGCAAAACAAAATTCCAAACGCTAACCCAACTTGTAACTATAACAAAATATATTAAAGCAATTACTTAGTGAACATAATTCACTAAAATGAGGCATAAAAATTTCATTTTTCAAGAGAACCCAAAGTCTGAAATCTACTGGAAATTGCGTGAAATGTACAACTAATATGATAATGTCATTCGAAAATTCAAAAGGAATCAATAAAAAAATGAGAAGAAAGGATCCTGAGAGGATTTAAGCAAGTGAGGGAATTAGATGACCAGATAGGGGCTGAAGGGTGAAGGGTGAAGTGAAGGAAGATCGTCTAACAAACCATAATCATCAAACATCCATGCGTTGGGGTTTTCAGAGGAAACCAGTACCGCCCCGTTCGGTTGCTGCCGGAATATCATATCCCCGACAAGGACTCGGTTAAGTCACGGGAGTGGAAGAATGGGTTGTAGCAGAAATGGAGAAAGAGAGAGAGAGAGAGGGAATGGAACAGAAGAGGGGGATATGAAACGAGTGAATTTGGTTGGTTTTGGATGGGAAGCTTGTGATGGTGGTGGGGAAAAAGGTAAAGAATAATATATTCATTGAATTTGGGTTGGTGAATTGAGAGATAAATTCCAACATATTTTGGTTTTTTTTCTGTATTTTAAAGTATTTATTTTTCCATTCCACCACCGTTGATGACAGTGCCCACCACACGCAAGGAAAAGACCAGGCCAAGGCCTTTCCGCTTCGCAAGAGTGACATATCAATAGTGTTTCGGGAATTGGGTTTTCTCTGCGTAAACTACACAAAAGTCACTAATTTTTGAGAAAATTTTCATTTTGTCTAATAAAGTTTCAAAAATAACAAATTAATCACTAACATTATCGATTTATTACAAATTGGTCACTTGCCCTTAACAATCAGAATGCTGACATGGCATGTTAAACTAGTTGACTCAGTATGTTTGACCGACCGTTCGACTCTTCTTCTTCTTCTTTTTTCTCTTCTTAGGCGAGATGATTCTTGTTTCTGTAAAGCTCGAGAAGCTAATGATATCTTGTATGATTCATGAATTATGTTTGAAACAATCATATCTTTATTATAGGTATGATGTCAACAACGATTGGGATTTCCTTAGAAAATCTTGATGCTTCAATCATATCTTCGAATTTATGGACTCCAATTCAGGCATGCACTTCTTTGATATCGGTTATTTTTAAAAAATATATATATTTTACACTTTGTTATTTGTGGTAGGAAAAGTTTAAAACATCCCAAAATAACATTTAAGATATTTGTTTTCCCTTTTTGCCATTCGGATTTAAATTTATTATTTGCCAAATCCAAAGTGCTCTCTTGGTGAAGATACTATGTTATTTGATCAGAGGAAGAGCTAATAGCCTAATACATGATCGTTAGAGTTCTGTTTGACTGGTGCTTTTACTTTTTGCCATTGACCTCTTATTTAATTGGAATCATTCAATTTAATTCAATTCATGCTATTGAGAAAAGTAAAAGATGTTAAGAAGAGCACCAGCAAAAAACAACCTCGGGAATCAATCAAAAGAAATTCAGAGAGTTGAATTTTAATCAGTCTTCTTAACATGTAATCTGTCATGCCACCTTTAGTTTCATTTTTTCCTCCCTTCTTTTTTCATTTCACCTTTGTTTTTCATAAGGTGTGAAGTTCCACTACTTCCATTGGCAAAGTGTTTTTTTACAACTCTTACATTTTGCTCTTTGTATGCCATTCTCCATAACCAACTCAAAATATTGCCATGCTTTGGAAATTAATTTCTTACTTGTTTTAACATCACTACTTAGCACCTTTTCTTTCTCAGGATCATTCTTAACCTCAACAAAGCTTTCAAAAATCCCCTTCTATTGCATTTGATTCAGGCACTTCAAATGAATTTTTAATAACATGACTAGAACATCACTATCTTTGAGAGTAACTTCATTAACATTCAATTGTTCATCTATAACTCTGAAAATTCAGCAAACCAATAATGATATATGGTGTAAAAAATTAGAAAAATTACAATAATAAAAACTTATAACAATGGCGAAAGGTGGATACCAGATATATAACAAAAATTACAAATATTTGATATCTTACATTAAGATAGAGCACAACGGATCCCAGGAACTCCTTTATCAAGTTTCACTAAACCCACTTACTTTCAAATTGCCCTTTTCTCCAAGTAAAAGCTTTACGTAGCGTTTCAAAGCCCCATTCATTGTTAATCAAAATACTGTCATTTTTTTGGTTTTTTTGTCTCCTCTTCTATAGGGCATATAGTTATTATATTTAACTAAATACTAATAGAGTTGACGATTAAAGTCACCAAGTAATAAAGATGAAGTCATCTTTTATTATTTGTTCTCTCAATATTAATGGAGTGTGGATTTAACTTTAATTACATTTCATGATCTTTCATATTCTTCTCTCTAGTAAGTGGTAACCGCTTTTTCTTTGCTTTATTAATAATGCAAAGGTGAAATAAATATGATCTAATATTTGCTAAGAGTACGGATATAAGTAATTTGCTATAAACGGGTGATTAGGAATATTAATAAAGCAATTGTCTTTACTCACCGCTTAAACAAAAAGCATAATGGGATGATTAGTATGAATAGTTAGGCATTTCTCTCATACTTTAAAACCTAGTATTATGTCATATATATGTATATGTATATATATATATATATATATATATATATATTAAAATTAAAGGTGAGCTTTTCTATAAATGGGTAAACGGGTCTAGTAGAGTATTTGTGTTAAATTCAGACCCAGATCCGTATTTTAATAAGAGGATTCAAATACGACCCGAATATTTTGGATCCAAAATTTTAAGATCCATACCCTATAAAATTGATCTGGATCTATGGCCTCTACCGGGTCCAAGATCCGTTGCCATCCCTACCCACAATAACGACAATTAACGTCGAATGATCGATTTGTTATAAATAGATAATGTTAGTGATCGATTTGTTACTTTTGAAACTTAAGTAGAAAAATAAAAACTTACTCAAATATTAGTGACCATTTGTGTAATTTACCCTAAATTTTATGGTAAACTACTCAAATGACTACTTAATTATTGATATGATAAAAAACCTACTTAATTATTGGGTTGGTGTCGATATAATCACCATTAAGGGTGTTCAAAACCGGTACTGACATTTTTTAGTACTCGAAGTATCAAATACTTGGTTCTTATGGTTGTATATTTGTTGGCCCGTGATTCGGCTCGTTAAGTCTAGGTACACGATAGTCGGGTACTCGTAAAATCTGGGTACCTGCATTTTCGGGTCACGAGTACTCGATCTACATATTTTTTTTATTTTTTATTTAATTCTTTTAAAATCACATAGAAAATATATAAAAATTTAAAAGTTCATAAAACACAATCCATGCACAAAAATGAGTGATTTGAAGTTAGTTTTAAGGATAAATATTTCGATATATATATTAAAGTTTATTTCCAAAAGAAAAGATTAAAAATATTAATATCAATCGTGATTTTTTCTTTCGAATCTTATATTGAAAAATTAATAAAAAAGTTTTTTGAAGAATTAAAAACTTAAAAGTACATAATACAAACCTAAGAAAAATTTAGACTTTAAATTTAATTTTAAGATAAAAATATTAAGAACCTAAAATAAAAATATAATTGAAACTATATATTTATATATATATTAAAATTACCGGGTCAGGTCGGGTATCCGATTATAAAAAAATTTGACCCAGACCTGGCTAGCTACCCGAGAAAAATCACTGGTCAAGTACCCGATCCAACTACTCGAGAAAAATCGCAGCCCGGATACCCGACCCGGTTCAATAATTTTTAAGAGAATTATCTGATTTTTTTATGTTTGGATCGACGAGTCGATGAGTTGGATCAACCGAGTCGATGAGTTGGGTCAACCGAGTCTGATATTTTGAACACCCCTAATCACCATGCTTCAATTTTTAGTAATATAATCACATTAAATGTTTAAGTGGTTTCAATATAGTCACTTGTTGTTAAAACAAATGGTATAACTGATGTAGTTGCTACTGACTAACGACAAGTTAGAGATTTATATCATCTAAACCATATAATGGTTATATTGAAATTACTTAAATAGTTATGTGATCATATTGTTAAAATTGGAAGTATGGTAGTCATATTGACACGAACTCCATAGTAAGTGATCATTTGAATAGTTTACTCTAAATTTTAAATGGTATATTATTTATATTATTAAACTTTTATCATAATATTGAATCTTAATTTTAGTTATTCATTAGATCGCTAAAATAAAAACAAAGACATTAATAAAATGATATCGTTTTAGTACAAATATTGATGCCTAAAACGTTAATTTTTCTATTGAGCTTTTTAATATTTTTGTTTTCTACACTATACATTTTTGGCCGTCGTTGATAATCATCGGTCGTCTTCCGCAATAAGATCAATATTAAAACGTTTATATTTCACACGTATTTCTTTTCTTAGGATTTATTTTCCAAGAAACTAACTTAAAATCAACGAAATTAAACAAAAAAATCTATCATTTTTAAGAATTTAAAGATTTTTTTAGATTTGAGGGATTTTGGATATTTGTTCGCAAATTCGAACAGTGAGAAGCATTATCAGAATATTAGGACGTCAAGCTATTAAATGAATTTTCGAATTTTCGTGACTTTAAATAGATTTGGTGAAAAATCAATCTTAAGTTAAAAAATAGGAGAAAGAAGAGCGAAACGAAAAAATTAAAATTTTAAACATTAAAGTAAAACAAAACTGATAAATTATGTATTAAATACGTAATTTACTCTAGATTTAATTGACGATCAAATTGATAAGGATTATGTCAAACGATAATAATTAAATGGAGATGAGTACAAAATTACCGAGTTTTCTGATACCTTAAGAAAATTTCAGAGATTTGAAACTTTTCATATAAAAGAGTGACAGCAAATACATATTAGAGAACAATTTACGGCGGAAGTTTGAGGAAGATTTTAGAATTGTCAACAGGACGAAGATTGAGGAACACATCGACACGATGGAACAATGCAACAACTCCGATGGCGAACACAATCACCAAAACAACATATGTGCTTGAAAGACACCCTTTCTTACAAGACAAACACCAACCACCATACGTTTTACATGTTCAATGATATACTATGCAGCATCAACACCCATGGATTGCACAAACCCATCAACCCTTTTCCTCATCTCTTCCGGATTCGCACCGACGAACTTGTCGACCACCGCATCTTCCCTCATCAACAAAAACGTCGGCATGGCCTTTATCTCCATCCTCTTTGCCACCTCCTAAAGTATATATCCAAGTCATGTTCATGGTAAATACCAAACAAGTAACCATCAACAAAATTGACAGAGAAGAGGATAAGATTGTTACCTTAACATCATCGACATCGACAGAGAGGAACAGAACATGTTGGAAAGTTGAGGCCAGTTCTTCGAAAAAAGGGTTCATGGCCACCGAAGGCATACACCATGAAGCAGTGAAGTGTACAACAATCTGAAGCAACCAAAGCAGGATTGAAAAAGGATCAAAATAACACTGGTAAAAGGTTTCTTAGAATGAAAATTGAAGAGCTTACGGGGCAGCCTTGATTTGTAGCTTGGTTGAAATAGAAATCCCAGGATTGAACAGAGTCAATGTTCACAACTCTAGATTTGTCGTGCTGATCATGTTGTGCCTCCTCCATCTCTTTCATCCTTGGACTAATCCTGTTTAATGTTTTCTTTTTTGCTTGAAACAACAGGGATGTTGCTTTGAAGTGCACATCTGTTTTAAATTCTTTTTAATGTTGGAAAGGCCCACATCTTTGAACCTTATCTTGAACAAAATTGATAGAAGAATCTGGAACGAAATGACAAAACAAAACTTTGGAATTACTCTATACTACTATATCTTTTTATTGATTTCCTTTTTTTCACAATCTTGATAATTTTGACATAAAATAATATCGAGTCTTTAAATTTATTATTTTATCTAATAATTTTCTTTCAAAAGAAAAGAAAATCCCGATTTGAAGAGTCCACATGTCAGAACACGAACCAGATCACCATGAAACGCAATCCAACGTGTCTAATGCCAAGAATCGTCCACTCCCATATGTCTAAGATCAATTGGTTAAGACAACATCCAATTATCCAAAGTGGAAAAATTGCAGATAAGGCGTCTCAAACCCAAATCTACACTTAGCTCCTTCAGATTGGGAAAAATAAAAACTTGGGTTGTGGTGATGGCACGAGCAATGGCATCGATGATTGGTTTCAGTGGCTCTTCACAGGCTGTTCTGGAAGGCAGCCTCCATCAACTCAGTGGCCAAACCCGCTTGAACATTGCTAGCAACAACCGAGTGGCTGTGGGTAGGCCTGGTTTCACTGTCAGAGCCCATCAGGCACCGGCTGAACCAGAGACCGGACGCAGAACCATGCTGGGTCTTGTTGCTGCTGGTATAGTCACTGGTTCCTTTGTTCAAGCTGTGCTTGCCGATGCAAGAAGCATCAAGGTTGGCCCGCCTCCCCCACCCTCTGGTGGCTTGCGTAAGTCATTGATTCTCTTCAATTTGTACAGATTATAAGCATGTTCAAATTCAGTAATTTGATGAACAAATCAGAATTTTGGCAGCTGGAACTCTGAACTCGGATGAGCCAAGAGACCTTGATCTGTCATACAAAAACAGGTTCTTCCTCCAACCACTTACTCCAGCTCAGGCTGCACAGAGAGCAAAGGAGTCAGCCAAGGACATTGTGGGTGTCAAGAGTTTGATTGACAAAAAAGCCTGGCCTTATGTCATGAATGATCTCCGCCTCAAGGCGGGGTATCTCCGTTATGACCTCAACACTGTCATTGATTCCAAGCCCAAAGATGAGAAGAAATCTCTCAAGGAACTTACAAAGAAGCTCTTCAATACCATTGACAATGTAAGTTTCAAAGTTTTTCCTTCTGGTATGCTAAACTATCATGTATTTCTGATGTGGAACTTTATTTTTCCTTACAGCTTGATCATGCAGCCAAGATAAAGAGCACCCCTGAAGCAGAGAAGTATTATGCTGAGACTGTATCTAGTTTGAACGAAGTTCTCGCCAAGCTTGGCTAAGAGAATGGTGAATTGTATTTTGATGTAAGATAACCTTGTTCATCGTTTCTAGAGACACTTTCATTCCTATGCTATCTGAAGGGAACCTCTATCTATTAACGAAATTAAAATCTCTATTGTTTATTTGTTGAAGCACATTCAGGTCACTGTCAACTCGAATAAAAGATCTTAGCTTTATGAGTAAACCAGCCATCATTCATCATCTCATCAGTTAATAGGCACAGGAGAAGAACCCCCAAGTATCACTCAAATTCAAGTAACTCAAAATACGGAAAGGGCTAATGCTATTTTCCAGTTTCTCCGATTTGATAATTGATATTGAGATTGCACAGATGAAAAGAAGAGTGATCACAAAACAGAGCTAATATAAAATACCAACTGCATAACAGAGATTGTTATCAAAGTTTCAGTTTCAAGATTTAATTCAATTCATAACTTTGAGGTTTGATACCGAAAACTAAAGGTTATAGCAGATGATAAATGAGAGAACATAAAGTATATATCGAAAATTTAATCAATGATAGGAAAAACAGATCAATATCATCTCCACCACTACCATATAAATAGTTCTGACTGCAAGTGGTAAAAAACTACTTGCTTTTAGATACTCGTTCAGATTCAATTAACTAAAATGATAAAACAAAATAGCATTGGTAAAACCTGCCACTACTCTGCGGGCATATTCAGCTTATAACGACAGTATCTATTTGATTCCGCAAGTTTCACGAGTTCCTTTGCATCTTCAATCTTGGAGGCTTCAACCAAGGCATCCACCACTCGCTGCAACAATGCAGCACCAACCATTTTTTTCCTATCAAGAATCTCCTTGAACAGCTCAATGGCAAAACTCAAATCACCCTTCTCACAAACGAATGGGACCAATACCGAAAATGTCAGCTTATCCGGTGCACAGTCATTTTTCCCTATTTGACTAAACCACTCTTTAGCTTCTTCCAATTTTCCCTCATTAACGAACCCTCTAATCATATCATTGAAAGTAAACACATCAAGTTTAACTCCTTTACTCCTCATTTCTTCAACCAAGTTAACTGCCTCTTTCATTCTCTTTTCGGCAGCAAATCCGAGCAACTTCGCATTATAACTCCTAATATCAGGCTCCACATTTTTCTCCAACATTTTACCCCATATGTTCTCCCCATCATCACACCTTCCGTTCTTGAAAAAATAATATAAAAGCACGTTAAAAGTAATCACATCCGGCTGCACACCCTTCTTCTCCATCTCATCGAGCATCAATCTAGCAGAATCCAAAGTACCCATCTCACAAAAAGCCTTAATAACCGTATTATAAGAAATCAAATCCGGCTCAATTGACAACTTCTCCGGCAACTCCTTGAAAAACACATCAACCTTATCAAACTTTTTGGCATTCACGCAAGCTCCCATAAGAGCATTGAAAGACAACAACCCTCTATTCGGCATTTCATCGAACACCTTGTAAGCTTGCTCAAACATGCCTGATCTCCCATACAGACGGATTAATCTAGCTGCGAAGCCTTCTTTAGAAATGTCTTGGTATTTCTTTTGATCTTCGAGGATTTCTTCGATCCATTGGAAGCGTCCAGCTGAAGCAAGGCGGCGAACAATATTTTCATAGATGCCGCTTCGTGCGCGGAAGCGACTGTACTCACAGGATTTTTTGAATTTTTCAACGAGACGCTTGAGGTCTCGTTCTTTGTAGAGTTCAGCAGCGGCTTTTCGAACGTTGTCCGTCTGTGGCGTTGGCGTTGTGGAGAAGGTGCGGTGGATGAAGCGAGTTAAAGATGACATTTTTAGGGGTTTAAGGTCGCCACTCGCTAGTAACTGCAGTAGGGCCTTAGTGTGAGGGTTAAAGGCTTAAAGCGCGATACTTGATATGTTTTAGAGGATAAATTATTTGTTTGGTTATTATCATCTAATTATTTTTCTAAAATTATACTTAATATTATTTGTCTTTTATTTTAACTAATTTTTTTACATGTACCATCTTTGGCTACAAGAACTAATTCAACCATGAATGTTCCTCTTGATACTCCATCTGCCTTGACACAAGTTGTCCCTCGTAATGCCTTTCGTAATTGAACATCGGATGCTCGTAAACACCTCCGTAGCTCCATCGTTCTCCGTAAGGATACGGATTACCGAAAAGATAATCCGCCGTTTCCTCCTCCCACGGACAGTTTTCGTCGCTCCATTTACCGCAAACACCATGAGGGCCATAACGGTTTCGATAATAATCGTCCTCTCTCTTTGCACGAGCCAAGCAGGGCCAGTGACCAAACAAACTTTCACAAAGGTCCATTGCTTCTAAGCCATACCCTGGAGGAATTTGAGATACCCTCGTTTCATGTTCACTACCATTAGATTGAACATCAGGGTAATCTTCCTTACTTTCTCCAGCTCGGTTCAACTCGATAGGCTCGACGTTTGAACCTACATTAACATCTTCCGTGCTGCTCTTAGTTTGCTGCTCCTGATCTTCGACTGTTGTTGCTGCTTTGCTTTCGTTGCTAGGTTCGACTCTTTCGCATCCGGTGACTCGATGGACACGTGGGAAAGTTTGTTCGAGGTTTGATCATTCGGATCCTGCGGTGATGAACGTGGATAACATATTTTCTCGGAAGGGGGCAGGGGTTTGCCATATGTTGCAACAGGATCATATCCACCGCCGTAAGGCGTCGGATCGTACTCATCGAATGCAGGCTCGTTGAACTCCGAGACGGAGTATGATACGATAAACCGAGTCTTTATCGTACCATAATCGTCACCGGAAGGGTTTAGGGCATACTCAACATAGTTAGGCTCAGTGAAAGAGTAGGCAACATTCGAGCGAACGATTTCGGGTTCACAAGCAACATAACATGGAGCTGAATCGTATCGGAAAGAATTGTAATCGTTTTATGCATAGGTAGAATGATCTCCCAAGGGTTGTGATGAAACATAATCATGATAAGGAGTTTGATAATACTCACCAAAATTAGCTTCATAATAGGTGGAGCTGCAGTAGGCCATTAGAGGTTCATGATCTGGGTAATTCGCAGGGAGCAAATTCAGAGGCAGAGCAAGAGAAAAATTGGGGCTTTCTTTCTTGCAAATTGATGCAGTTGCCGACTATGTATATATGGAGATGTCATTATTATATCTACCACATAGCCTTTATCTGAATGGAGAGATAAAGTTCATATACTCATTGAATGAGTGAAGATAAAGTTCATAGTTCATAAGAAAGTGTCATTATTATAGTTTGATTTGATTTATGTTTATGTTCATGTTAATAAATATATATGACGTGTATCACATGTGCTTTAAAAATATTGTATAATTTATTTTTAAAATTTTATTTTATCCAATTTGATCCTCATATCTCTTTCCATTTGCTGAAGTTGAGAAATGTCAAAATCAAAAGCATTATTTTGTTCTGAGTAACTTTGAAAGTGTTTTCTAAAAAGTTGCGCAAGGGAGCTGATCTAATTTAAGATTAAAAAACGATAGAACAAAATAAATTTATAAACTTTTTCTTAACGATTTTAGATTATGTATCTTCTTCGTAATATTTTCGATTGCAAACAATAAAAAATATTACAAAAAATGTTATTTCTTCATAATATTTTTGATTCAGTTGAAAATATTAAAAAATTAACATTTTAAATTATGTTTAATAGAAGATATTAATATAATATTTTCAGAGACATTCATTCTTTATTATTTTTTAATCTTAAATTAAATTATTGTACTACAGAACTTCCCAACATTATTAATAAAGAACAACGCCTAACTCTTGAGCGAATATAACTAGACTTTGCAGAAAAAATAATCCCAACAAATTTGAGTGTAAAAGGTTTTTTATCATCTACAAATTTGAAAAAATACCCTTCAAACGGTCTACATAGGATTATCTCGCATCCTACAAAACACATATAAGGATCTCACGTTTTACGGAGCAAAAGATTCGCCCGATCTGGAAACACTTTTCAAATAACCCAATTTAATATTCGGATAAAACACTTTGCCGTAATGCCTAACACGAAGTCTATGAAAAATTGAATTTATTGTGGGTAGTATTCAATAAATCTCGCGTTCTACAGATCACGAGGTATATGCATTTTTAGCCCACATTGAAAGCATTTATAGGCATGTTCGAGGGGTATCTTCGGGTAGTTAATCTAATTTTTTTTGTAATTTATAAGATTAAAGGCATAGTATTGAAATTTATCTTTAAGTTGAGGTCAATATCGACACATACGAGATATTATAAGCAGGTTAAAAACCGCGTTGAAAAATGTTGTAAAGCTTGTTTTGTGCATGAAGAAAAAACTAAAATGGCTTGATAGACATATTTGAGGGATTTTTTTCGGGTAGTTAATCTGAATTTTTTTGTAATTTATAATATTAGAGGCGTAGTATTATAACTTATCTTTCAATTGAGGGTAATATCGACAATTATCTTTAATATATGCAGAAATATCAACAATATTTAGATCACAGTTAAAATTTTTTAGTTGATATTTATATATTTCCTAAATTATCGATTCAATAGTCTTTTAAAAGTAAAATTTCACTTCCCCTCTCATTATCGTAAAATTCTTTTAACCGCAAACGAATTCCCCTCACAAGGACATTGCTTATACTGTGCAACGCGATTAACGCTGAAAGCGATATCCGATTTTGTGTGACTAAGATAAAGCAACGACTCAACGGTGCTTCAATAAAACAATACATTAGATAATGGTTGCCTAACATCACGAGTCAACTTTGGAGACACTACCATCGGAGTAGCTGTTGGCTTTGCCCCTAACATGCCCATACGTTGAAGAGGTTCACGAACAAACTGTCTTTGACGTAAAACAAGTTGACCAGCATCTCGTTGAACTTCAATACCCAAGAAGTAACTGAGTTCACCAAGATCTTTAAGGGAAAATTGTTGGCCCATCGACTGAACAACCTCGTCTATAGCTTATTTAGATTTTCCAGTGACAATGATGTCATCTACGTAAACGAGAACGAACGTACGAGCTCCACAAGTCAGCTGAACAAACAACGATGCATCAACGGAAGTCCCATGAAATCCTAGACTCATCAAGAACTGCCTCAGTCTAGAGTACCACATGCGATGTGCTTGACGCAATCCATATAACGCATTCCTTAAACGACACACAAGACGCGATTCATCATTAGCTACATGTTCAAACCCTGGCAGTTGAGCCATGAACACTACCTCACTGAGATCCCCATTAAGAAATGCATTATTTACGTCGACCTGACGTAAGCTCCATCCACGAGCAACAACTAACGAAAGAATAACTTTTACTGTGGTTGTCTTAGAAACTGTCCTTAAAATCATAATCAGGAATCTGAGAAAACACTCGCGCGACAAGTCGAGCCTTGTACCTTGCAACTAAGCCATCTGCATAGCGTTTCACTTTAAACAACCACTTACACCCAAAAGTCGTGCGACCTGTTGGTAGTGGTTCTAGCACCATTTTTGACAAGCGCATCATATTCGGCAAACACAGCTTCCTTCCGCAGTGGACTTTGAAGAGAATGAGTAACCCAGTATGGCTCATCATCAACCAACGTCTTTTGAGCAAGAAAGGTTCTCTGCTTGAAAATTCTTCGTTTACTATATGAGTGATCATCGGATGCTCAGCTGGAGGCCCATCCTCGTGCCTATCCTTAGGAACAGGGATTTAAATAGCGTTCGCGGTAGCGTTTTCGGTCACATCGCGTTTATCGCGGTTGCGGACATAACGGATATTATCGTAGTCATTGCGGGTGTCGCGGTCGTGAATTATTTTGAATTTCGCACAACTTATCATAAAACATAATAATTATAATTATAAGGAGTCATTTTAATGATTTTTAGAATGTTTTCTAAGCTAAAATGACATATATATATAATATAGTTTAACCATATAGAAGACTTTAAAATTCTGGTAATAGGATAATATAATTAATTCATGATAACATTGTGAACACATTATTATTTAAATTACTGAAATTATGATTAAATTAAACAAAAATTAAAGTTTACATTCTAAACTATAGATTAAATTATAAATTTAACTTACTTAAAAAAAAGGCCCCAAAATGTTGTTTTAAGCCTAATAAACCTTAAAATATTTTAATCCTAAACTCTATCCCCTCCCCCACACGTTCTCTCCTTTCTTCCTCCTCTCTTCTCTCAACAGTCAAAACACTCAACACTCAATAAGCATGTATCAAAAAGAGATAAAAAAAACTCCAAAACCATAGCTTGTTCTAGCCTAAATCCAGAGCATGAATGTTTCTCTTTTTCTTCAACAATCTTAAGCTTTGACGAAGATTCATTTCTCCGATTATAGTAAATTCCACTCCGGCGAGACCCACAAAACAAGTTCGTTCTTCCCTTTTACTTTTTCATTTTCTTTTTCCTTTTGAATCTCAACATGCATGTATAAAAAACGTGAACTTGAAAAGAAAGAAAAAAAGGTTTGGTGACGATGAACACAAAAAAATCATATTTCCTTATCGGCGCAATCGTCCGTTTCCCGTTAAATTACGGGCGCAATCGACCGCGATCGGGGTGAATCCGTGACCCACCGCAAAACTCATGAATAGCAGTTTCGAACGGTGACGCGACCGCAATATCGTGGCCGCTATAACGTTTTCGGAAATCTATTTGATACCCTGCTTAGGAACTTCCAAAGTATTGACAGAACTATTGTGACTAGTCCCAGATAAAAATAGAGCAGGTGAAGCACCCGAAGCAACACCATCCAACTGATTCAACGCACCTACCGCCAAAACCAGAAGTCAAACTAGTATTACTTGTAATCTGACTTTCATCCACAATAGGTGTCAAAGCCGGCAAACCAGCATTAGGCAAAACCTAAGGTGTGCTTTCCTGCACCATAGCAGGACGAGAATGATTTTGCACAACCACACCACTTGAAGCACTATAGACACGACTTGCACCATGAACCAAATAAACTGAGGTCTCATTAACCTATGAACCTTCTGACTCACATTAGTTTTAGGCACTAGAACAACGAAAGGAACTACATGTTCATCAAAGATGACATACCGCGAGACATAAACTCTCCTATCTGGAGCTAAACACTGATACCCATCATGCTGGCTACTATGCCCAAGAAACACCGAGGGTTGCAACCTATAGGCTAGCTTATGAGGCTGAAACACACGCAAATGAGGGAAGCAACTACATCCAAATACACAAAGATGATCATATGACAGACGCTTCCCAAACAACCGCTAAAACGGAGAAGCACCTTGGTGGGTAATCCATAGTACTAAATTGCGGCCACAATGTAACATAATGCCGCATCGTAACGTTTTTTTAAGGTTACCACAACGCAATATCGGCGCAATGTAATAAGAGAACCACATCACGATTGTTACGGTAAAAAACGTTGCGTAAAGCCGCAACACGCTATAAATTACGCCGCAACAAACTTTAAATTATGTAAAATACAAAATTACATAGATGAATTTAATTCGTAAAACTGGATATAAATATATATCATTAATAATATCGTAATAATTATGTTCAAAATTAGTTACTTAAATTTTAATTAATTAAATTATTTATTAACGTTATTTTATAAATTTAAATTGAATTTTTATCATATTTAAAATTGACGTGATTAATTTTAAATTAAATTTTTATATTAACATTAAGTATCATAATTATATGTTTATTTATTATTATATAACTTTTGTATAAGAGAGGAATTCACTCTATAATACTATAATATTATATGTATTTTATCTATTTACTAGGAAACTATAAAATTTTATCTAATATATTTACTATAAAATTTTATCATACAACATGTTTCTTACCAATGATGCATCTTATGATGCACATAATGTGATGTCTTCTTCACAAAGAATAGGAAGGAATCAAAACCAAGACAATGACAAATATGAAAATGCTTTAGATCCGTCACGTCATTCATTTTGATGGTGAACTGTAAGTTATAAAATTTTTATATTTGTAGTTATGATTTTTTTTTCTTTCTAAGTTATGTAAAATGAACATTTTGATGTTACAATATAAAAAATTTGATATGATTTTAGTGATATTGTTTATATGTTATTCATTAACATTATAATTGTTATTATCTATTATCTATTATCCAGTATGATAACACTTCTATGGTTTATATTTGTTTTTAATAAATTTTTATATATGAAATTAAATTTTTATTTTCAAAATAAAATATTAAAAGAATATGTTAATATTAGTATATTAAAAGATAATTGTAAAATGAATAAATATAATATTTTAGATGTATTGTGATTTTTGAGGAAGATATCACACCTGCGACAGTCGCAACACGTTACGTAACGCCCGCAGCATCCTAATTTGATCCTATGGGGGTAATCTGTTGATTAAATGCACAAGAGTAACCATATCATATGACCAGTACTTAAACGGTAAAGACGCACGAGTCAACAGTCAAGGCCATTTCAACAATATGACGGTGCTTTCACTCCACATCGAAGCAGAATTGCTGATAACGAACGAAATTGCTCTGAACAGCTAAGATCTCCTTCTCAAATTACGTTCGAACTAGCTATAGAAATAGCTGAAAAGCATGCACAGCTTGACCTTTATTCTTCAGCAAATAAAGCCAAGTATGCTTTGAGCAGACATCTACAAAGGAAAACGTAGTAATAAAATCCATTAGAAACTATAGGCGTAGGACCCCATAAGTCAGTATAAACTGACTGAAATGGTTGTATATAAACCGATGATGAAGCAACACATGGAAGCTTATGATATTTACCCATCTGACATGGAACATAAACAGGGAGCTCAGTTTTATTAACACATGTAACAAGCTAACATTACTTCCACTACACACTTGAAAAACAACTTCACGAGATGGATAACCCAATCGGTCATGCCACAAAACAAACATATTAACACTACTACGAGCTAAATTAGCTTCAGCTGCGCGAAACCCATCATCAAATGTATGCATCCCATCAACTTCTTGCCCCTATGCAAAATGCTCCAGACTCCTCATCTCGAACCACACAATGACTGGCGTGAAACTCTAGGAACACCTTGTTATCCCTAGCAAGCTTTGAAACCGAGATTAAATTTTTAGTCATAGAAGGCACGTGTAACAAATCACTCAAGAGTAAAGGACGAGAAACAATAGACAAAGTTGCGTGAACAATTTGTTTAATAGAAAAACTGTAACCATTTCCTACAGTCAACTTACTAGCACCTGCATAATCAACACCGTCCGTAAACTTGTTTTAATCAGCAGTAACGTGATGAGAGGCTTTCGAATCAACAATCTAGGACGGTGTATTCACAGCTGCCACATCAGCACAGGGATTTAATGATTCACGTTCATTTGCTACGGAAGCACGAGTGCTCGATTTCCTTGTGTTAAACTATATCTGGTTAGGTGGTTAGATGCAAGTGGTTAAGGGGTAATTAGTTAATCAGTTAATCAGTTGTGACAGATTCTGTAGTAGCTAGACTACCTCTCGTGAGTCTTTAAATAGTTACACATGCAATGTAATTCAACACAACTATGCTATACAAATTTACACTTTTCTTCTGTATTTCTTAACTAGTTAACATGGTATCATTGGCCATCAGTTCTTGAAACGATTTCGATGTACGTTTTTTTTCTTTCTTTCTTCTTCCTTACTTCTTAGGTTCCGGTTTCTTTGATCTTTCTAGTTTGATCATGGTTCAATTCGCTTCGATGTCAGAAATAGCTGAGGATGAGCAGTTTACAGATGCTAGCTCGCACACTTTTGCTAATAAAAGAATCAACGTGTGTTTAACAGATTCGAACTATCTTTTATGGAAACAACAAGTGATACTCACGATCCGAGGGCTTGGACTTGAAGGTTTTCTCGATGAATCCATGGTGGTTCCGGTGAAGTTGGTTTTTAACG